GGAGTCACACACAGATGATCACATTCTGGTACGTGTCATCGTTACGCGGCGGTGTAGCATACAATTAATTATCATCTTCATAATTAGCAAGGTGAGGACAGTCGCAGGTGCTTACTGCTTACTGCTATGTCAACAAACCTTGCAAAATGCCAATTAGAGACCCTTTTGAGAAAGCTTCGATGTGACATTTCTTAATGGTTAAAGGGAACCTCAACTCTTCTAACAAATAGCGCTCAAACTATTCCAAATGTATTTCTCGATACATCTGGTTTGAAAAAAATTGTCTTACCAAGCATTCTGTCTTTTTTTTTCTCTTTGTGCTTTACATGTATGCTAGGTGGGAAATGTCTCTCACATAGTGTCATTTACTCCTAAAGGGATGTTGGCCATCTCCTGGAACTCCTTGTATATGTTTGAGTTCCCCGCTTCTAGAATTTGACAGTAACCGTTGATTTCAATTTTGAAGAGTATCAAAAGTAATCGGGGATTGCTTAGATTTTGCCTCACTATGTTGGACGATTGGTCTAGGAAACCCATAACACCTTTTAAACCAATCAGATGCACACCTTGGACCAATGGCAAACTGGGTACCCCCGCATGTTCCCGCGCCTCGGGCAGTTCTAATTTTGAGTCCTTCTTGGATTTTAGTGATAGTTTCTTTCCTTATAATTGGCTGATGTGATTACTTTGGTTTTTGTTCACAATACGCAATCGAGAATCGCCCTCTTTTCCTGGGTGGTCTTACACGATGAAAATTACGAGCCATTGCTTTCACCGAGACCTCTCCTCACCCAAAGCCCAGGTCACTCACACATCCTTCATTAGCTGTTGGTTAATTAATTTTTTTTACGTATTTTACTTGATTATTAATTTTTTCAGCTCAGGTTTTCAATGATGTTCATATGTTGATGTGTACACTGGGAGCTAAGAAGGAAGATGCAACACTAAATCTATTGATGTCACTTAGAGAATATGTTAGGTAATATGGAAAAAGGTGTAGAAGAACGTTCAGATCAACAACCTGTCATTCAGTGAAAGAGTGTTAGTTATCTCTCAAGCGTTGATGGATTTGTGGCATTCTGATTAACTTACTACACTTCCTTCGATGTAAAATACCCGTAGATCTAAGTTATAGTTATTTATAACTGACTATATCACCAAGTACTTTCCCAGGAACTGAACAGGAGACTATGACAAGCGAGCAACAATTTTATTATCACTTTCTGCAAACGAGATTTGGTTGTTCCAGCTCGTGGTCGTAAAATTATTTGCAGTGACAGGTTCTCAGTGAGAGGGTCTTAAAAAAAGAAATCAACTGAGAACGGCGATGTATTCAAACCGCAGAAAGATTCATGAACTATCGTAAAAGAAGCACGTTTTGTTAATCTTAGGTTAACGTTTGTTCACGTATCTAAGCGGGTGATTTCCGTTTCTAGTAATATAATTATCTTGAACTTCTTTGTTTCCTTTGTTTTTTTAGGGATGGCTCAGGAACAAATTGCGAAGTATCTAGAGAGGTTCGTTTGGCCCTATGTGAAGCGTTTGAACAGGCTGACAAGGTAAATTCACCTCTTTTACGGTCTCCCAACTTGACTTCACTAAACACTTATTTGGATATATCAACAAAGTTGAAATGGTAAATTGGCCACCGTAACGATTACAAAAGCTGACGTTTCGAGCGTTAGCCCTTCGTCGGAGCGAATAAAGAAATTGTGGGCTGTGGGTGCTTTTAAAGCAGAAAATGGAGCTACGTTATTAATGGGAACATGGCAACGAGAAAAACAAGAATAAATTAGTGGAATGAAAAGCGTTCGTTGATACCTGTGGGATTTAGACTGCCGGTTTGAAAGATGAGCTTTTNTTCCTTGGGCTAAAAACAACCCTTTGCAAAAGATCCACAGCGAATAATAAGTGTGGCCATGCAGATGAACACCACCCAGCTCCCAGTTTAAAATTGTTGGCTCAAGCTGAGAATCTGATTTTTACATATCTATAATCAAGTAAGAAAGACGGGGGGATAAATTGCACGGGGGAAGGGTAGGGCACCATTTGTCACGGTTCCTGACCTCGCAAATGCATTTTCTAAAGTGTACCTTTTCATCTAAAACGATTCAAAGAAATTTTTTTTTCACGTACGCTAGCGTTTTCGTTTTGCTCTAAAACAGCTCTCATTACTGGGTCCACCTTTTAACTTGTGTACTCACGAAACAGCTTTTTATTGTTATTGTTCCCTTGTGTTGATGCAGCCATAGTCACGAAACATCCGAAAATTCAAAAAATACGACTTTTCTAAATAAAAGCCGTCAAAATTAACCTGTAACGAAAAGTGTGTCTTCTTTCAGGAGCTTATTGACAGAGAGAAAGGCAATGAAAGAAAACGCTCCAATGACAGACCGACTCATGGGGCAGACCCTTGCCTTACATGTGTAGTAAGGTCAGGAGAAAACTCTTTGAAATTCATAGTCGGATATACAACACCAACACGGTCCGCGTCAAAATAATGGCTCCATGATATACGTTTAAGAAACTTAATTAACCATAGCAACTCACCAGCTGGACTGTAATCCAATTGAATAAAGCAGTAAGGAAAAGGTTTTTTATTGTCATTACTAATGCATGGTGAACTTTCTAGAATGTAAGCGAGTTAAAAATCAAATGAATGCAGACAATGTATCCCACAAAAGCGAGAGAAAAGGAAATTAAGCTCTGGACATTCAAGGTGGCTTTTTTAATTCACCGTTTACTTGTCGAACTGGAATTTGGAAAGTTTTTGTTTGTTTGTTTGTTTGTTTTTTGTCTTTTGTTTTTGCTTTTAACAAAATAAGTTTTCAGGTTATTCATATGTAATTACACAAAGATAGTCCCTAAAGCGGAGGGTTGCTGCCTATTGGGCACAAACTCGGCTACTTTCGCCCCCATACTAGCGCGATATCCTTCCCTATGGTAGGCGGCGAACATTGCTGGTGTAAAGAACTGATGATTGGTAGAGTGCTGTGGGAAAACCCCACATAACGCCTCAGACAAACTGCGACATGTATTCCCATGGCAACATTCACAGCAACAGAACGTCAAGCGATTAGCTCTCTCCGATGACAGCCCGGGACCAGCCCCCCAAAGACCAGCCTCCAGGTCTTCATCCATAGTAGTTGCATAAACCCCAATTCTTAGACAAAATCAAAATGTCCGAGAAATTTTTTGGACAAAATCAAAATGTTCGAAAAAATCTAATGCCGATTCTAACTCATTTTGGAATGACAATCAAATTTTCACATAAAATTTAGTCAAACGTTTGGTTAAGCATAAATAAAAATAAATAAAAGTAAATAAAAATAAATAAAAATAAATACTGACTAAATAAGGGTGGCACGAGGGGGGCTAACCCCTTGTAGGAGACTTCGAGAGATTGCACTTCGCGCTTGCGCGGGGTGTGCGGGATAACTTCTCGAAGTCTACCCTCTCGTTTAACACACTTAAAGAAATAAAAAAAATGATTTAAAGAAATAATAAAAAAATATTTAAATAAAATATTTGCAAAGATAAAATGGCATCAATAGCAAACCGTCTTTGGAATACACTCCAAAGAACACTGGGTTATTCAAACCAGAGTGAAGAATCAAACGAATCTAAACAACAAAATACTGAAAACAATCTGAGAAAAAAGATTGAAGATGTTGTTGACTGGGGAAAGAAAAAGGTTGAAGATTGGGGAAAATGGTTAAAGGGGTTGGTTGCACCACGAGCTGTGGTTGATAACAAGTTGAAAGATTTTAAAACACGTATCAACAAACTCAATGAAAAAACAGATCAACACCAATTCAATCTTGTTGAGAGTGAGACTACATTGAAAGGGTTTTCAAATCATTACACGATTGATGGAGTAGAGGGTTATGGGCCGATAGACTTTTTTCAAGCTGTAAAACCGACTGTTATCAAGTTTCTGTTAACACAGAAAAATATCAAGATAAAGTTTGTTTTGAAGTGTCATATGGCAAAGACAAACATTAATACGGGTGAGACTGAGATACAGTTTACATATTTTCATTCTTACGAAGAGATTATCTTTCAAGAAACCGACCGAGAAGAGATTTATCAAAAAGGTATCGACAAAATGACAGAAAGCATGGCAAAGTGGACAAGAGAGGGAAGTGGTTGGACTTTAGATTCGATTGCGGGGTTGGATTTACACACGGTGAAATACACCCCTCTGAAAGGATCTTCATACATTAAACTGCCACCAGAGCTCGCAGCTAAGAAAGCCATTGTAAACATGAAGAATGAAGATGCTGAATGTTTCAAATGGTGTGTTACGAGAGCTTTGAATCCTGTTAAGAGTCATGCTGAACGTATCACAAAGATTTTGAGAAAGCAGGCGGAAAAATTAAAATGGAATGGAATTAAGTTCCCGATGGAGGAGAAAGATATTCGCCGCTTTGAAACGTTGAATCCGGGTATCGCTATCAACGTTTTCAGTTATGAAGGAGAAGTCGAACCCTTGAGAGTGAGCAAGATCGAGAAGATCAATACTCGTATCCGTCTTCTTCTCATCTCTGATGGTGAGAAAAAGCATTATTGTCTCATCAAATCTATGAGTCGACTCTTATCGAGTGATTTGTCGAAAGATGGCCATAAGAAGTTTATCTGCGATAGATGTCTCAATTATTTTGGTTCACAGAAAGTTCTTGATAAACACGATGAGTTGTGTCGAGAGCATGAGGCAGTGAGAGAAAATTATGCCTGAAAAGGGAACTTTTCTCTTCTTCAAAAACCATCACAGAAAAATAGACTTGCCGTTTGTCATCTATGCCGACTTTGAATCGATCATCAAACCTCTGCACTCTGTTCAATCAAATCCTAAAAAGTGTTACACTGATAAGAAGCAACTACATATCCCGGTGAGTTTTTGTTACTACATCAAGTGTTCATTTGATGATCGATATTCGAAAAAGGTTGAGTACACAGCAAAGTCTGAGGATGAAGATGTTGCACAGATATTTGTCAACATGCTTGAAGAGGAGGTTATATCTATTTACAAAAAACATCCCAAAAAAGAGATGATCTTCACAGACAGTGATGTTGAAATCTTTGAAAATGCAACGTGTTGTTTGTTGTGCGAAGGGGCTTTCAATGATGAACATAATGACTATAAGAAGGTTCGCGATCATTGTCATTACACCGGCAAATTTCGAGGAGCTGCACATAACAAATGCAACCTGTTAGCCCGACGGCCAACATTCACTCCCGTCATCTTTCACAACTTGGCAAACTATGACGCTCATCTCTTTGTCCGAAACCTCGGAGTTACAGAGGGCGACATTGATTGCATTCCAAATAATGAAGAAAAATACATCAGCTTCACAAAACACATTTTGGTTGACAAGTTTATAAAAGAAGAAACGAAACTGATGACCAACGAAGAACTAAAAGAAGTTGCAAAATCACTCGGTCTTTCCAAATTTTCAAAACTCAAAAAAGAAGAGTTGTTGAATCTCATAAAAGAGAATAGTACTGAATTCAGTGGTGAAAAAACAGTTGAAAAAGACATACCGGTAAAGAGAGAGTTGAGGTTCATAGATAGTGTCAAATTTATGCCTGGCAAGCTTGAGGATCATGTCAAGAACCTCGCTAAAAATGGTGAATCTTTTTTTCAAATTATAGGAAAATATTACAGTGGAGAGAAACTTAAACTGTTAATGAGAAAGGGTGAATATCCTTATGAATGGTTGGATTCTATCCACAAGCTAATGGAGACTGGCGTTCCGCCGAGGGAAGCCTTCTTCTCTGTGTTAACGGGTGAGGGAATCTCTGAAGAGGACTATGCTCATGTGTTGAAAGTGTGGAAAGAATGGGGCATGAAGACGATGCGAGATTATCACAATCTTTACAATCGAAGTGATGTTCTTTTGCTCGCCGATGTTTTTGAAAACTTTAGGAAGGTTTGCAAAGGGATTTATGGTCTTGATCCCTGTTGGTACTACACTGCGCCGGGATTGTCTTGGGATGCTTGCCTCAAGACAACAAAAGTAAAGCTTGAGTTGTTGAGTGATATAAACATGTTGCACATGTTTGAAAAAGGCATACGTGGGGGTATCTCAATGATTCCAACACGACATTCAAAAGCCAACAACAAATACATGGGAGAGAAATTTGACCCCTCTCAACCTTCAAAGTTTATCCCATATCTCGATGCAAACAACCTTTACGGTTGGGCGATGAGTAAAAATCTGCCGACACACGATTTCAAATGGGTAGATGAGAAAGATTTTGAAAATTGGAAAGATTTTCCCTGCGTTCTTGAGGTTGATTTACTCCCCATTGAGAAAGATTTACACGATTACTTTAACCACTACCCTCTCGCTCCTGAGAACTTGATGGTTGATAAAGTGAAAAAGCTGCTCTGCACCTTGGGTGGAAAGGAGAAGTACGTCATTCATCGTGAAACTCTGAAACTTTACATGAGCCTTGGAATGAAGATCGGAAAGATTCACCGCGTCATTAAATTCAATGAGAGTCCTTGGATGAAAAAGTACATTGATTTGAATACAAAGATGAGAGCCAAGGCCGACAACGATTTTGAGAAAGATTTTTTCAAACGCATGAACAATTCTGTATACGGTAAGACGATGGAGAACATTCGGAAACGAGTTGATATAAGACTTGTCAACTCTGAAGAAAAGGCGAAGAAGTTGGCAAATAAAGTGAACTTCAAACATTGCACCATATTCTCCGAAAATCTCTGTGCCATTCATATGAGAAAGACACAAATCACCTTCAATAAACCTATCTATCTCGGAATGTGCATTCTCGATCTCAGCAAGAATCTGATGTACGACTTTCATTACAATTACATCAAAGCCAATTATGGAGACAGAGCAAAGCTTCTCATGACCGACACAGACAGTCTCTGCTATGAGATTCAGACGGATGACTTTTACCAGGATATAAAATCAGACGTGCACAATCTGTTTGATACGAGTAACTTTCCGAAAGATCATCCTTCTGGAATACCGACCGGTGTGAACAAGAAAGTTATTGGAATGTTCAAGGATGAAGCCGGTGGAAAGATCATTGAAGAGTTTGTAGGTCTGAGAGCGAAGCTTTACAGCTACAAAATGTTTGATGATGGAAAAGAAGAGAAAAAGTGTAAGGGAGTGAAGGAATGTGTTGTTAAACAAACCATCCGCTTTGATCATTATAAAGAATGTTTATTCGGTGGTGAAAACCAACTTCGTAAAATGGATACCCTCAGAAGTCGGAAGCATGATATATTTATGGAAGAGATCAACAAAGTCGCCTTGTCTGCCAATGATGACAAGCGAATCATTCTTCTAAACTTAGTGGACACATATGCACCGGAGCATTATAAGATTTATGAAATAATTTTTATTGAGTAATCTATAACCCACCAGGATTATAGATTATAAGTTTCAAAGGGTAGAATGATTACTTATTCAAAACTAATTATATATTTCACACCATTGATGGCTATTGTTTTCTTCATCTCTTCTTTTTTGCCAAGCAACTTTGCACCAAGTTTTCCAGGGTTTATGTTAAAATGTTTTGCGGCAGCATACATTGAGGGAAAAACAAATTCTTTTTCTTCTTTTTCAGAATCTTCAACAAGTATTACTTTTCTCTTTGCTGCTCTTTTTTTTACTGAGATTTTATCGGAAGGGTTTCTGATGTAATCAATCAATTCTTTTTTCTTTAGTAAATAACGCCCCACCAAACCGGTATCTTTTGCCCTTTCTAACAGCGCTGGTCTTGAAAGCGAATCAAGATCGTCAAGATTGATTGGTTTTGAAACTGAATCAAGATCGTCGGGTGGTTGGTTTTTGATCAACTCTATGAGTTGAGCTTTTTTGAGATTTTGAAATCTTTTTAGCCTCATATTCTTTGCTTGTTTGAGAAGTGCAACTCTTGTTAAATCGTTGAGGTCTTGTGTAATCTCGGTAATTTTGTTCATTTTATTCAATGCAAATATTTTATTTAATAATTTTTTTTATTCTCTCTTTAAATCTTTTGAAGATCTTTTACATCAATCCATGAGTTGAATTTTTCTGGATAACCACTCCACTTTACAAGAGCTTTTCCTTTACTCTTTCGAATAACCTTCTCAATGCGGAAAATCTCTTGCTTTGCCGGTCTACCATCTAACCTATTTTCTTTACCTTCGCTACAATCCTAAATAGGGATGATTGAGTATAAAATTCCATTTAATCGCAGAGCGCTGAAGGCATCACATCATGTTTGATTGTCCGGAATGTGGGTTAAGTATTACGCAGAGGAGTAACTTTCGCCGACATGTGAAGAGCTGTTCAACATCGAACCATCACATAGCATTTCCGTACTGCACAAAAACTCTAGCAAGAAATGATGGATTAAAGAGGCATATTAAACCTCATCATTCCAATCTGCTTCAATCTGATCAACCGCAGCAAGCTACTCAGGGTTGTATAGTCCTGCCATGGGAGAAACCATTCAATTGCGACAAATGTAAAAGCCGCTTCAAGGTTGAAGAGACTCTAAACCATCATAACTGTCAGAAAAAGAGACATTTTAAATGTAAGACCTGCGGAAAATGCTTTGTTAGAAAAGCGCATCGAGATGATCATGCGAAAAATTCCCACGGAAGACAAAGAGGGGGAGCTTTCGAGAAGTTTAATGATGAGGACTATGAACTACCTACGAGACCCTCCATTGAACCCGACGAAGAGAAAAAAGTTCTCAATGGTGTAAGAATGGATGCCACATTTCGTCCTGAGACAAAAGTGCAGAAGAAAGATTTTTAAAGTGTTTTTGCATGAATCTCGGAAACGGTTACAAAATCGTTTAGGAATAGCCATTAAGGAAAAGAAGGGGATCAAGTGGAACTTAGTTCTTGAAAGTAAGATGTCTCAAGTGATGAAAAATCAGGAGAACCTCCGAGTGCTAACACCTCACTTTACTGCCGGTCCATACACTAGTACCTCAAGTAGTGATGTGATGAAGCAAATTCGCATGGCCTGTCAACGATTAGAAGATGAGATGAGCAATTTTACTGAGCTTGCATCCGGATGGGTCTTAGAAAGAAATAATTATATGGCTCTACAGAGGGCAAAATATGCGCCAATTAAAGGTAACTCCTACCTCCAGCTTCATCCCTTCATTGCAGACAAAAAGGCTATAATCAATGTCAAAAACAAAGATGGCCACTGTTTCAAATGGGCCATTCTCTGAGCTCTTCATCTAGTGGAAATTCATCCTGAGCGTGTAAGCAACTATAAGTCCTATGAAAAGGAACTAAACTTCGACGGTATGTCGTCAAGTTCCTATGAAGATAAAAAACATTTCACAATTTGAGAAGCAAAATCCGAGTATCAGTGTCAGCGTCATTGTATATGAAGTAAAGGGTCAAAGAAAAAAGCGAATAGCAGATTTCTTCCCCTTAAGAATGATGGAAGAAAAGAAAGAACACCACATAACATTGCTTTATTGGAGCGATGGGAAAACAGGTCATTATGCGTGGGTGAAATCTCTGGGCCGTCTACTTCACGACCAGACAAAGAGTCGACACAGAAAATTCTTCTGCGAGCGATGCTTCAATAGGTTTGGAAGACAAGACTTGAGAAGCATATGAAATATTGTCGAGAAGTACCATTACAGAAAACAGAATGTGTGAAAGAAATTATTCATTTTAGAAACCTGCAGAATATTGAGCCAGCTCCCTTCACCATCTGCGCAGACTTTGAGAGCTTCCTCAAACCAATCACTAAGGAACGCGGAAAGAAAACGAAACGATTTCAATACCATGTCCCGTGTAGCTATGGAGGGGTTCTCATCTCGAGGTATCCGGATGTACAAAATCTAGTAAGGTATCACGAAGAGGGGGATGAGTGTGGAGAATGGAATAGCGAAAAAGAAGAAGAGGATAATGAGTGTGAAGAATGGAATAGCGAAAAAGAAGAAGAAGAGGAGAATGAGTGTGATGAATGGAATAGAGAAGAAGATGAGGAGACTTCTCTAGACCTGCTGCATAGAGTTGCGCGTATTTCTTCTGTAATTCCTCCAATCCGAATTTCACTTGTGATAATAGAGTGGATTTCATAGGTTTACGCTGTAGTGGCAATGTACGCTTGATATGCTTTCTTTCGTCTTTCATGGATTGATATTTCTTCACATCATCCGCCAGTTGAGTTTCAATCTCTTGTATCGCTTGACATAACACCACGGTTTCCAAATCGCGACAAGCCTTTTTTACTATTTTCTGACACTCCACTGCTCTCATGCTAGGAATTGCAATGGCTTTTAATCTTCTAGGAAACGTTCTTGCACTACATGCGATTTACATTCTTTCAGATTCTGTTCAACATATTTAATGCGTGCTCTGATAGCCATCAGTTTCTGTCGATACTCTTTGAGAGTGACTGATTGCGTTATCTCTGACAGGTTGACACTATGAAATGAAGTGTGGAAATGATGGAAGTTAAGCTAGTAAGATTATTTTGTATAATTTTTCTTTTCTTATTCCTCGTAGATGGGTGGAGAGAATGCTATAAGACTTGTTGATACACTTAAGTACGCTTCATTTATCACAAGTTGTTAATGAGAAAATATTTTAAAAGCTATGTCATTTCAAGAAAATACTGGAAGCAAGTCATGGTTGGAATTAGCTATAAATGATCCGTTAGTTAAAGTAAAATACCGTAGAATAGCTGAGTCTAATTTGTACGCGGTATTCTTTAAATAATTGGAGCCTGAGCAACTGGATGGTAGAGGTTTAACATTTTAAATGATCTACCCCTTTTATATGGGAATGAAAGATATTATCGAGATAAGGAAAACATGTAAAACATGTACAGTTGAGGTGGTGGTCGCATCTCGGGAACAAAGTCACGTTACCCACGTATGTAAACTCCAGCTAAAACGGTTTTCATATCACAAAATGAAGGAGTTTTTAGAGGCCTTAGAAGAACAGCTGTCGATAAAACAAGACTTGAATGATAGACTGATAATAAATATTACATTCTTTGAATCGTGTCGTGTCTCTCGTTGTAAATGTAAGTCTATATTGTAATCACTTGAAATGATTTTCTATGAATTGTACATTTTAAAAATTTATTATTAAAAGCCTTTCCGATGACATGGCAAGATATTATGCAAGTGTATTCTGACGAAATTCAACGACCTTTTGGATATATCACCCTGGATTTACACCCAGCTAGTGATGATGCCAGACGATTATTCAGTCATCTTTTAAAGCATGAAGGATGTATGCGGTTTTATACCAAAAAATTAGAGAACGAACCGAGCTTTGATGCTCTTAAATCCATCATCGAACGCTTCATGGAACATTGAACAGAATGCTAATGTGTTCTTTTGTTTATTTTCTACGAATTCTGCATTTTAATGGGATATGTAATTTACTTAACTACATAGGGTGTACATAGTCGCACAATTTTAAGAATCGAGTAGAACCGTTCGATTAATAAAAGATGGAGCGATACCTTGTTTTTAACTAATTTTTAAAAATTTTCCTGTCTTCCTTTCTTCCTTTCTTCCTTTCTTCCTTTCTTCCTNAAGTCCAAGTAGCAACGATATTCACATGTATCTCTGTCAATCACACTGATGTTTTCGATGGTGTGGTTAATAAGACGTTCTCCCACGAAGGACAGGGTCGATGGAAAGGCTAATATACGGCATTGATCTAAAAATACAGATTATTGAAAGTTAAATAGCGACATGGGTCATCAATTCTAAAGGTCTCAGTTGTTGTTAAACTCGCCTTCCAAGCGCTTGGTACTTATACTGATAGATAGATAGATAGATAGATAGATACTTTATTAGGCACAGAATCCATAAAGCTAAGTCACCTATTTATACATATTCATTAAGATACCAAGATCAAATTAAAAATATTTCTTGTTTTCGAGCCCAAAAGATCTCTAGAAAAGGATTCTATGACCTCCAAAAGCCAGATAAGTCTTTTCTTTCCTTTCTTTTGACCTCTGTTGCCCCAGCTTACATCAAACAGATTATATCTGTCTTTGTTTTTCCTTGCAATTACTTTCTGCCGGACACCTGAAACAACTAGCTTTACAGTTGATAAAAATGATATCGAAAATTGCAAAGTGTACCTTGACGAGCCCAAACCCCAAAGATAATTCGTGCCCAGAAAACTCAATAACTTCCATTAATATTCAATGATGAAAGAGGCAAGAAATTTCAATCACGAAGTCCCAACTTGTGCCCAATATTTCAAATCACATTCTCCTCACCTATCTTTAAAGTTACTATGATAACGCGCGCGTGCAAATCCTGCTTAACTTCTAATGAGCCACTCTGATGGACATCTTTACGCAGGCATGGCCGTGTATACATAACACGACGTGTGCTAAGTTCCCGGTAAGTTGGTAAGTTCCCGTCTAGCTTAGCCAAGCTCTCTTTCTCCGATTGAGGTACACTGTACATCTTTCGAAGCTCTACAAAAGTAGATAATTGCATAAAAAACAATGATTTTTAAGTTCTGTGAATAGACGAAAATAGCTTTGGAGTTGACGTTATGTTATCCCTAAACGCAGGACGATTTATGGCCGTAGCAAGAAATCTGAGCTTT